GCCGAATTACCATCCAAAATCTTATTTTCCAGTTGAATAAAAGTATGTGGATTTGTGTAAAAAATTATCAAAACGACAAAACATTTGTATTCATCAGTTGCAATCAAAATGTCACGTGCTCTACACGACCGCCTCCATGCGTCCCGAATTACCAATGAATTCCATATATGGGAATGGTCACACGACCAACAAAATAACATCTTACTGAAGAGCTGTATCACCTTCGCTACTGGAGTGTTCAATACTGTTAGCAAAACTTATTTTAATAATTGTCATTCAGATACCAGTGACTGGGATACCTTACCTTCTTTGGGATTAGAGAAATCCATATTTTTCTTTGAGACTGGCTGTTTATTTTTGGAGTGCTTTTGGAGTGTGTTTACCGCACTTTGTGGAGTGCTGTCAATGCCGCTTTCGCTGTCACTCCCCGACATCAGAAAAACAGGCTGTATGTCTTCGAAGTGTCGTTGCAAAAAGACACGTCAAGTCAAACAAACAGTCGACCTAATAAACTTGAAGTTGTCGTAGCCGACTCTGACCTTTATTTTTTGTATCAAAGCAAAGAAAAGAGGTCAAGTGCAGTGATATGGAAGAAGACACTGACCCGCTATCCAAAATCGCGAGTCCTTTTGTCTTGTTATTTACTCTAACTGTAACAATGCGCAAACTCTCACAGAGCGGTGCTGAAAGAACACCGCTATTTGACGCGGCTGAAAAACTCGCGGCCTTATTAGGCCAAACAGCATTATCACGGTCGAAGATCTCACGACCTGGGCCCCGCGCATTGCGAATAGCGATATCACATAGAGGCAGCAATGTATTTCATGGGACGAGTATGGGCGAGTTATGGTATCCAGACGCTTGCGCTCGTTCGCAATGCGCGATACTTTCGAGTTACGGGGCCAGATCGGTGATGTGAAATAATCTAGAGTGCTTATCTACACAACCGGTCACTCTGCACATGGACAGCTTAGTACAGCTATCGAAGAAATGTCCTGCGTCTAAGCAATTGAGACACAGCTTGCGTCTCTTAATTAACGCGATTTGCGCCGATACCTCCATTTTCTTGAAATTATCACACTGATAATTATCACGACTTGTGATTTTATTGACAAAATAGGAACACAATGCGGTTAATCGTGTTCGACGGAGTTTCATTTTGAGTAGCGCATGCAAACGTGGAAGAAAAACCGATCCGTTTGGGCCAACATTGGTCTCCGTACACCGGATGGTTAGCGACCTTGGCTGACAAAGTCATATAGTCTGCGAATTGGACAAATGACAAATTCCGTCGCCATTTCTTATTTTGAGTGTCTTCTTTTTTCAACCCTTCACAGATTAATTACTATTTTTATGTACTTTATCAATGATGACTTTCTGATTTTATATTTCACCCTTCAGATATATTTTCCAATGTCAGACTCGCAATTGGTAACTCTTCTGCAATTCATATCAATTGTCTTGCGTTGCTTTCCCATGTCTACGATTGCCAACCAAAGAGTTAGCAACTAAATGTATATTCCCAAAACGCTCTTTTAATATCTGTCTAAATATCCTTCGAGTGGCCCTCTGATCTTTTATAAGGATATGGAAAACTCAAGTTGCATCCAAATGCCTTGTGGTAATAAAAATTAACAAACCTATGCATTAAATTATGAAAGAAATGGCAGACAGTAGAAAAATTTAGGTATTTATTTTCCATCTATTTATTTTATTGATTTATCTATCCAAAAATGTCATTTTTGTAACCCCCCCTCCCCTTTCCGCAATTTTTCACAAATCGACCGCTGGCTAAGATATAGACATAATAAAGACAGACTCCTCCCGTCAACAATTAAAAACTGACTTTTAAAAAATTCCACGGTGTTTGTGAGAAAACTGACGTGCTTATAGAGGCTTATCACGGTCGTCATCTCTCGAGTACTCTCGGCAGCGACATCCAAGGGTCAGTAATGCTGGAAGAAGGTGTCTCGTAGGTGGTATACTACATGTACGTGTAAACATGATGATAACAGTCCTCGTGAGTCTCTGAGTCTATTAGTGACCTGAAAGACGCGTGCCTCAACAAATTGACGGATCGGGACCAGTTTAAAACGTAATTTTGTTCATATGATATGGGTAATCTTGAAAACTATTTGCCTTAATTATTTTAAATACATATATAAAAACACACAAACACACACACACGCCCACATCTCTCGCCCACAGCTCTTGCCCTTACTTATGCGCGCTACTCATTGACATTGTTTCTATAACGAGGTAAAACGAGACGTGAATTGTAACTTAGAGAACGAAGAGATAGACAAAACGAGTTCAATAATAAAAGGGTTTTGTAACGGACGTATACATTCACCTGTCCTCAGGTAATGACACCATGGGAGGTGAGGTTATCACTTGAACGAACATGTCCTTACCTGTCACGGGCTGCTGATAATGCATACGGCTTACTCATACAATCGATGGAACCTTACACGACTGTATGAATTTTTTAAAAATTTTACCCTTCTAAGTTTATGTGTATGTATAATTGCAGACGCTATATTCAATCATGATGTGAAATATTTTATGGCAACTTTTAAAAAATTTGCATTTTTACTTCACATTTTGTTTGTCATTCTAAAAACCATTATCCATATTTTAAGAAAATAAGTAAAGACTCATCTTTGCTTCCTTTCAATCAAAATTGGGCGGTTGACTTCATAACAGTCGCCTGTAGGGTCTAAAGAGTGAAGAGATGTAGAATATATAATTTCAAATTGGGGCACTTTGTTTAATATATCCTTGGCAATTTTTAAATGTAAAAAGTGATGATGATAGAGGATTTTAAATGTAAAAACTGATGTTGATAGAGGATATTTAAAGTCAATTGCAATGTGGACGAACCAAAAGAGATTATCATTTCCTTTTTATTTATGGTACTGATATACTAATATGTGATCTTTCCTTCAATCCAAAAATCATGCATATTGCATTATTAACCTCGTGTAAAAAAAAAACAAAAAAAAAAAAAACGCCATAATAATTATTGACTTGATATCGAGATCTTCATCTCTGACAGTCTGCCAATGACAGGTATAAAGAAACGTGTTCACATATTTACAATCGCAGAGTTCTTCCAAATTAGATGATGTATTTATGAATTATTGTCTGTCTCTCTTTATGGAAGTCTGTTGCCATATGTTTGAATGTTGAAGCATGTTAAGAGAATTTACATTTGAATATCTGCAGTCGGCCATTAAGTATAAATAACATACTAAAAGATTATCAACTTTGAAATATATTACACCATATGAGGAGAGGGCACTTGTTTCAATACAAGCCATTCGGGTTAAACTCTCACTTTCGGACACGTGTACCCGGAGCAGATAAAAATCTGATTAGCACAAGGAAATTAACATGCTTTTTGACGTCTCCAGTGACCACAACAACCGAAGTGTGAACGGACACGCTTACAGGCTGTTAAGTTAGCCACAAACCACTTTGTGTGTCGTCTTACAAACAATTTCCCTTCGTACCAACACCAGTTTCGTACGGGAGTGTCAAAACAATGGAAATCGAGCACACAGCTTGCTCCAAGCTTTTTTGTGAAGTTCATTCTACATTGACATAATTAAAACAAACGTGTTTTAAAGAGAAAGGGGGCGTCATCTTGTTCACTGAGTGCATCATGAAAACTCTAAAATTGTAAACAGATTAAGGATAAATAATTTAAAATTGAGATAATCTGTTAAATGTATTTTTGTGAATGTTAAAAAATTGCTAGATATAGGATATTCAAAAACAATTGTTTTTCTGCATATACAAAATGCCACAAAGCATACCAAACATGTAGTAAGATTATCGCAGCTACCCTGAGAGAAAAAATTGGACAGTTAAGTGCTAAATATCCAATAAAAACAAAGGGGTTGATACACCTTGATTTGTGTACGTTCGTTTATCAAAATAACAAAATATGTAATCTTTGCGCTAATGAATGCAATTAACGATATAAAATAAGCCAAAAACCACTTCATACGCAGTCTTACACACAGTCTCCCTTCGAACATGAATAAACATCAGTTTTGTGGGAGAGTGTCAGAACAATGGAAATTGTAGTTTCTTTGTTGATTCCATTCTGCATTGAAACAAACATTGTGTGTTCTTAAAGGGGAAGAGGGACGTCAACGTCATCTTGGAAAATGAGTGTATCATTTTTTCATCAGTGTTTGTGCGAATGTTGTTCGCGTCGTTGAACATGGCTCATCGTGAAGCAAATTTAAATGTAACACAAATTTTATATTTCCTATATCTTATTCACACCAAAGGAAAAAAACAATTTTCCATCCCATGAATGTCTCGACTCATCTTTGCACTTGGATTCAATGTTTTTGTACCATTTCTGGTCAAATAACGTAATTGTAAACTAAAAATGGATCATCATTAAACCGCCGAAGTCTACTGAACTGTCAGAAGACAACAACGACAACGAAAATAATAAGAACGTTTCTGTTGCGAACATTAGCGTGTTCAAGAAAGGGAAAAGTTTGTCCGAAAATGGTTCTTTTGTGTGAGCTCAACTAAATAATAATTTGTCTGAGCTCTTATTAGTGTGTTAATTCTTCGTCGTTATTACGTAAAAATAGATAAAGTTTGAAATAGATAAAGTTTGTTTAAATATGTATATTTTTTATTAATAAATTAACATATGCATATGTACAATAATGATACAACAAATCTATCGTTAAAACAACTATGACAAGCAAGCCAGGCACCAAACAACCAGTCGCTTACCAGAAGCCTAAATGTAAAAACGATATTATAATATAAAGCTTTAACAATACGATAACAGAAAACAATTCTTTTTATAGAGATATTTTTCACTTGGAGTAAACCTTAATTCATTTNATGATACAACAAATCTATCGTTAAAACAACTATGACAAGCGAGCCAGGCACCAAACAACCAGTCGCTTACCAGAAGCCTAAATGTAAAAACGATATTATAATATAAAGCTTTAACAATACGATAACAGAAAACAATTCTTTTTATAGAGATATTTTTCACTTGGAGTAAACCTTAATTCATTTTAGTACACCGTAATATCCCTCACATAATGAGATGGAATGCATTTTATATGAAAACTACTACAACATACTTCTTGAATATATTGCACAGAATGAGTTTCTAATAAATAATTAAATACGAGACAATGAACTGGAGATAATTAACAATGACATTCCAATTTACAGTTAAAGAGATGTCTATTTTAAAAGCTTAAAGTAATTTTATGAAAAAATAAACATGTACATTTGTATTTGAATACATTAAAATATACATCAAAAGAGACAGTAAGTCTTAGTTGAACTGTTCAGAACAATGTCTTACAAAACACAAGAGACAAGAAGTCCAAAGTTTTAAATAAAACATGCGACACTAAAATACTGCTTCAACAACATTAAGCTGAATAAATACATCATCTACCATTACCTATATATAGCACTACGATTTTACGTCTATTCAGTATAAAGCTTTCACTCTGACCTCACAAATTGACGATAACCAGGGTCCATTCCACTGAAACCACTCTTGGCATCAAAGAAACATTATTGAAGTCCTGTTATATGCAATACGAGGATTTTTCAAATAGATACGAGACAGCATCATTATTGATAAAATATCACTTTAAAAGCTTAAACTTATAAGATGATTGCTCACTAGCAGGGTCACATGAATTCTTATTCTCGTTTGGTATTTAAAGATATTTCTTTGGTTATTATGTTTACATTTCTCAACTGTAAGGAGAATGTTTGCTAAAAATGCAGTTATCAACGAGCTGGCCTTTGTTAGATAGAATTCAGTACGTGGTATTAACGAAACAGTTTTGACGTACCGGAACTGTGACAGTTGAGAACAGCAAGTGAGTACCGACATCTGGTGTGCGAATTCCCTACGCGTGAACCTTGCAAGCGTGGTTCCCCCGAAGTAGGAATACCTAGCCGTTTTTTTTTTATTTTTTACGAAGACCTTTTGAGGTCTGTACAAAAATATCACTTAAACATTTCCCAGCGCACTCTTCTTCGAGGCGCCATGTTTGCAGACTTCTTTTCCTCTGATAGCAACTTCGTGCAGGGCGTAGAACTCCACCAAGGAGTACCCTAGTAGCACCAGCGGGGTGAGGAGAAAATGAAGAAAGTTACGAACGAAACTAATATGCTCTTTGACCTTCATCAATCTTGGTCCGAAAACGTCCATCATGAAAACCCCAAAAAAGGCGAGTTGCTGGAGCCCTGCTAAACCGTACATCGCGTAGTTAATGTAGAACGGTGCGTCTTTCACCAGGAAAGCCATAGACAAACCGGCAGATATACCGTACAAACCTCCCGAGCAGAGTAGGATGCCGTAGTATGAAAGGAAACAAAGACCCCAGGAGAAGGCAGGCCAGAAAGGCATGCGACCAGCTTTAATAACGTAGTAGTGGAAGACTTCAGCGGCACCAATGGTCCATCTTCTGGCTTGACGCGCCCACTCAGCCACTTCCAACTCCACGGTCTCACCGGATGTCGGTCCGCTGATGACGGGGACCGGGATCATCGGAGTACGGATGCGGCGACGAGTAACGCCCATCCATCGGATCAGGCAAATGATGTCGTCCATCTGGTAGGCGGGGTGAACAAAGTTTCCATCAATACACAGCCGCAAGGAAAAGGAGAAAATGCTCATGGAATTGATGTTGAATGGGATGAGAGCCCCCATCATTAGAGTGGTACGGAGAAGACCGGTGACACGGGTGACAAAGCTGCTTCCATCCAATCCCCAGTTGTAAAACAAAGGTGCCTGGAATACGACTCCATGAGGGGTCTTCTCTTTCATGAACTTGGAAGTCAGAGCTGCGATGTAGCTAGGGTGGAAGTATGAGTCGGCATCACAAGTGGTCACGATAATCTTTTCAGCATCGAAGTATGCCCCAAGCTCCTCTTGCATTACCTGCGTCGCCTGGCGGAGGCCGTGATTGGCATTGGAGCACTTTCCAGGGATCTCATTTGGAAGACCAAAGGGGTGTATGGTGAAGATTAGACGCTCGAAACCAGCATCCTTAAAAATCTCACGGAGTTTATCGCATTTTGTTTGCACTTCCGGTGTCTTTTCTTCAAAAGAAATCACCATGGAGATGCGCCCGACTTCGGTCTGGTCTGCTAAAGTTTGAACGCTTCTTGCAATCAGTTCTACTGGTTCCTTGTAACAGCTGATGGCCACCAGGTGGCGGATGTCAGTGTAGTCGGGGTAGTCTTCTCGGAAATCTTTATTTTTGTTCCTAAAATTGAAAGATGAGAAAATGAATCCTAGATTATTATGGCAATAACATTATTAACATATATTAGTTCATGCATTTGAGTCCACAAGAATTACAAAAAAAAAAAAAATAAATAATAATAATAATAATAATAATATTTCGTCATTGTTTTTTTAATATCTTTTATGATACAGAGTTCATTCAGGAGCCAATACTTACAAGTAAAGGACAATCATGTTCTTGCAGGCCAAGGTAACCACTACTACCCACATGAAGACAAATACAGCCTGGACAGCAGGAATTAAGTACCAGGCGACGGTCTGTGACACAAACGGCACCCACACAGGCATTGGGACGATGATCCAGAAGAGAAGGTTAAATATAAGGTTCCACCTGAACCTCTGTTTCCCTGTCTTTATTGGTTTATGAGTAATCCCTGTGTCAATTGCCCCTTGAAGTGGTGATTTTCCTTCAGGGAGGTCTCCTTGTGGAGGTAGTTCATTACCGCCTGTCGTGATGTAGGTTCTTGCGTTTTTCTCATTTTCTTCTGAAAATACGGAGGTGATGCTATCTTTGCTTTCTTCTGATAGACCTTCTCCTTTTAAGGATAGAGTTTTTGTGGATAGATGGACGCCAGCATGCATCTGGTTCTGCTCCACTTGAAGCTCGGCCCTGGTGGCATTAGGGGAGTCGGCTTTGTATTGCTCTTTCAACTTCCTCATCAGTTCTGAATGCAGAAAAAAATATCTTGTAAGATGCGTAGAATGTTTGCAGCGATAGGTTTGTTAATACCTCTTACGTATATGACAAATGATTCACTTTTAAAGTATGGGATATTTCGGAAAATACATATTTTCCTATTCTGCTGTGGTCGTATTTAGAAAAACCATTGTTGACATACATGTAAGATGCCTCCTCTAAAATCTTAAAGATAAAGCTGTATGAATTTGATATAACCACAGTATTGATATTATATTGGAATTATTTCTTTACTGGGTTTTTTAATCATCTTCATTAATATACCAGTAGCTGGTACAAGTCTTACCATCTTTGGGATTAGAGAAATCCACATTTTTCTTTGAGGCTGGCTGTTTATTTTTGGAGTGTTTTTGGAGTGTGTTTACCGCACTTTGTGGAGTGCTGTCAATGCCGCTTTCGCTGTCACTCCCTGACGTCATACTGGCGGCGTCGTCATCAACGGTGGAGTACCCATCATCAGCAGGGGAGCAGTGAAACATCCCGTCACAATCTGGGACCTGTTGGTCGAGACTTACGGAGCTTGAAACACGTGACATAGTGTCCAGCGAGGTGTAACTGCCATTTTGTGAATGTAGATTTATTCCACTGTCAACATTTGGGAGAGAGGGACCAACTTTCCCTTTAGATGAAACATCGTCCGCGCTCACGCTCAATCGTCGCGTAAAGGAAATCGGGACAACATCAGCCATTGTTAATCTGTAAAAAAAATATATATATTAATTAAGCAAAGTCATTTAACTCATTTATTTTTAGTAATTTGCTTGTTTAATAAATAGATAAATAAAATAATTCGTTGCTGGATTTGTTAAATGCGAAGAAGAGTACTGCATGGCGCAGGTTCTAAAAATTTTGTTTTTGATATTTTTCTTGATTCCTAGTGCCCATGTTCCTTGTTCATTCACCGAAAACACATGATATTCAATGTGAAAGCTTTGTAGTGTTTGTAACATCTTCAGTTCTTTCAGTCATCTTGTAAACTTGCTTAAATCTTTTAGCTTTATTTACTTATCTTTTAAAATATTATTAGACAGCTTTTAAATAGCATTACCAAGCGTTGTATGAACTTCTATATATATATTTCGAGTGGTTCTAGGGAGCCTGTTACAAGCATATCGTACCGACTTAAATCATCTAACGCTAAAATCAACCCAGACTTGTTCATGAGAAATGATAATGCACATGTTGTAATATCCTCTTCCTGCTGACAAATTAAAACGTTACTGCTGTATTAAACACTGCATCAACCGCAGTTCCGCATCCGTCAATTACGTTGCTATACTTCTGCGGTTAAGAATAATGTGCTATGCAATCGCA